CGATTGTTCATTCATCCAACAAGTATTTTTGAATGTCTACCATATGCCAAGCGCTTGGTTAGGCGCGGAGGGTGCGGGAATGCTCTGCGGGCTCTTGGCTCCGCCCTGTCCCCCGCTGTCCCCAGCGGCTGCTTTCCACCTCCGCGATGCTGTCCAGGTCCAGCTGCGCGGCTCTTCTGCGCAGCCTCCTGGCCGCAGCCTCCTGGCCGTGGGGCCTGCGCAGCTTCCCAGGTGCGGTGCAGGGAGTCCACGCTCCCGGGCTCAGGGCCGTCAGCGCGCCCCCTGGTGGGGAAGCCGGGTGGCAGGGTCGGTGTGGTCCAGGGTGCAATTCCCCAGGCCAGGGTCCAACCCGGCACCAGCCGCCCAGAGGGCCCTGGGCTGGGGACACGCCCTCGGCCCTGGGAGCGGGAGCAGAAGGTGCATGGCCACTTCCCTCCCGCTCATCTTCCAGGTCACCTGAGGGCCGGGCTGTCACCTGAGATGGCCCTGCTCCCGCTTCCCTGTGCTGAGGAGGCTGATTAGAACACGTGGCTGGGATTCCCGGCCTGAAGGAGGACACGCTGGGCAGCAGCGTGCAGGGAGCCCATGCACCCCTTGGGGACAGAGCAAGAGCAAGGGCCACGGCGCCTCACACGAGCGAGAGGCCGCGTGTCCCAAGAGAGAAGCGAACCCCCAGACCCGGCCTGGAGCGGGTGGGGGGACTCCCAAGTGCCGCAGTCCCACCGCTAAGCGGAGAGGGAGGTCCAGAGAGAGGAGTGAGAGGTCATCAGAAGGGACCCTGCACCCGTGACTCTGTGGTCGGGAGCCACGGCGTCCATGTGCGCACAGGCAGACGGGACCCTGCCCGCCACTGCCACCCGTGGCCGAGTCTCACGCTCCTGCTGGGGTTTCTGCAGCAGTGAAAGGCGTGGTCCCCACTGTGCCCCGTCCCTGGGAAGACTCTAAAATTAGGGAGAGCCGTGACGGGCAGCGTGATGGAGATGGCTGCAGTGACATGGTGGCACGAGAGGTGTCGGCCGGGCAGTGCCTGCGCTCTGTGAAAGGAAGGAGATGTCGCGCCCCTGCGGGAACCACGGCCCCAGCACAGGAGGAAAGGCAGGCCCTGGTGACTGACAGCCACTGTGGACTGACGGCGCTTGAGATGGACCTTGGCAGTCACAGCTGGGACACGTGGTGTTGACAGCCATGTCACTCGCCAAGAAAGTGAAAATGTGGCCCGGTCCCCAGAGCCCATGAGCTGCTGCAGTTGGCAGGGGGTTAGGGACCTGTCACCAACACAGGAAGGAGGGGCGGTGGCCAGAGCAGAGGGCTGTGACGTGAAGATCGCGGGACCTCACAGCAGAGGCCAGGACTCCTGCCTCCTTCACTCAGCCGCAGGACCTCGAGTGTGGCCTTACGGGCGGGCAGTGCGGGAGGGACAAGCCTCGTCCCAGGCAAATACTGTGACGGGATGTGGCAGCGGCCACCAGTGTACCAGCCCCACAGCTCACTCCCCGGGGCTCCCTGCACGGCAGAAATGTGCATTAGGCTCCCCTGAAGCCCCGCACCAGGTCGGTCGCCTATGATGCAGGGGACGGCCCTCCCCAGAAAAGGATCCTCCCTCCAGAATGTCACCCAGAACGGAGGAGGGGAAGGAATCCTGCTCTGCAGAATCATGGAGCAGCCGATGGCCACCCACGAACCCCAGGGGGGCATTAATCATCACACGGAGCCTCCCTGAGGAAATGGAGTCTTAGAAAATCATCTTTTGGGGAAGAAAAATTCCCCATCAGTTGACTCTGGTGAGTTTGGTGATAATGCCCTGCTGTGTGGCTCCTTGCAAATCTCTGTCCCTCTCTGGGCCCATGTGCTGGTTCTTAAATCAGTATGGCCCTTGTACAAATGCCTCAGCAGGCCACCGTAATCTAGAGACCCCAACTCTGCCAACTCTCTCTCCACCTCGGCTTTGTCACCGTAAAGGGGGCCACCAAACACATCCAGCACCCCCTCTGCAGGGTTCAGCTCAGACCAAACCAGCTGAGCCACACACCTTGCTGGGTCACCGTGGGCCAGTCTGACTCTGTCACCTCTCCCCACCCTCTGTACCCCTTCTCATGAGGGTTCTATGGCACCGGGGCTCCACCCCGTGGCCTCGGCGCACCTTAATGGCCTCCACCCTGTCCCCAACGCTCACCCCGGGGTGAGAGCTGCCCATCTTGAGTCTGAGAGGACACGATGGGGTCCACACGGCTCGCCAGAGGCGCTTCTCAGGACCAGCCGCCTGACAGCTGCTGAAGCGAGTGATTGGGGTGGGATACAGGACTGACCCGGGGTGCTCCACCACCGAGCTGCGTCCACAGCGCTTTTCTTTTTCTTTTTTCGAGACAGGGCCTCGCTAAGTTGTCCAGACTGGCCTCCAACTTCCTGTCCTCCTGCCTCAGCCTCCCGAGTAGCCAGCATTCCAGGCGTGGGCCCCCACCCCAACCAGAAACTGTGATTAAAACAGCAGCCACCCTGTCAGCGCTAACACAGCTCCCTGCCCCTTAGAACATCGTTCGCACGTTAGAAACTGTTTCACAGGGATGAGAGTGTTCTCATGGGAACATGAGGATTAATTAATATCCTTTTGATGGTAGAAGAATGAGGTGGCAAGATGCCAGCCCGCGTGGGCTTGGCATGGCTGCCGAGTGGGTGGGGTCTGCAGTCAGGCGGCCAGACCCACCCAGCTGAGCCATGCACCTTGCTGGGTCACCAGGGGCCAGTCTGACTCCATCACCTCTCACACCCCCCCCCAATAGGAGAATGACCATTCCCAGCAGGACTTCTAACCTGCCCGAGCGCCATGTCCTGTAGGATGGGGCTGGACGTTGGGGTCAGCATCTCCAGGCCTGGGCACTGACCCACACTACCTGGGGTGCCAGCTCCCGGTGCTGCTCCTGTCCTGGTGCCCCCAGGAATGCCACCGCGCAGCACTGTCAGCTGCCCACGGCCCCTCCCCCGTGAACAGCCCCCTCCCCCGGCTGCTCTTCTAATGAGGCTCAGATTTGGTTCTTCCATGGTGACCTGGGCTCTGGGGCCACACACGCTGCAGGGTGTCCCCCGTGAGGGAGAAGGGCTCCCTGGAAGGCAGGTGTTAGAGGTGGGGAGGGCGGGTTTTACCGACGTCCCCCGGAATCAGGACTTGCAGTGCCCATGTCCACCTGCAGCATGGCTGGCCGGTCCCCCTCAGGGGGCATCCTCAGCCCTCTCCGGGCTCCCCTCGCCCTGGTCCTCCCGGGGGCTTGCCCTGCTTTGGCCGGGGAGAGTGGACACTGCCACCAGTCTACACCCACACACCAGGGGGGCGGGGACCGGGAAGCAGGATGGCAGCAAGACACTGCTTGGGGCCCACAGCGTTCTAGAACATTCCCTCCTGCCCAGCCAGACTCCCTCTTTGGAGGACCGGCACACTCCAGACTCTTTTTTCTTCTTTTTCAGATTGAATTGGTTGAATAGTCTCTGCAATTCACAGGTCAGCAGAAAAGGGTCCAGTGTCCAAAGGTCCCGGTCCTGAGCAGGCGACTCATCTTCATGAGGCACGTTCCAGAAAATCCCTGGCAGCGGATCCCTCGGGGGGCCTCATCTCGGTCCAGCCAGGCAGGGCGAGCGCAGGGACAGAGAGCGAGGGACCAGAAGCCACTGGCCCTCCTTCCTGGCCAGGCCGCCACCTCTCCCCTGGGCAGCCCGGGGTCTCCCTCCTGCCACTTCGCAGAGCCGAGGGACCTGCAGAAGCCGCGTCAGGCCTCGTCCCCTCTGCTCAGAGCCCCACGCACACTTGGAATGGCCCCCGACTCCATCGGGGACCTGCCCCGCCTTCCTGCAGCCTTCCGAGGACCTCGGGGACCCCAGGAGGGACCGGTCCTGCCCAGCAGCCCTGGCAGGGACCCTGCAGTCCCTGAGCCCTAGGATTCTGCACCCAAGAGTCTCCAGCAAGATCGAAGCCGCGGCCTGAGTCGCCGCAGAAATGCCCTGTGACCCGAGCCCACCCGGGCCCCCTGTGTGGGTGCCGGTCTGGGTGGGCTTGTCCTCCCAAAGCCAGCTCCTGCCTTGGACCCCCGGCTGTGCCGAGGCAGCTGCAGGCTTGGGAGAGAAAGGCCCGGGCTGGGTGCTGCCTGGGCTGGGTGCAGGGAGGCGATTCTGGACATTCAGGGAAAATGTCTGCCCCCGAGCTCAGAGACGTTAGGCAGCTGAAGTGGAGGAGGGAAGGCAGGGACCCAGAAAGTCTGCTTCCAAACCCCCGCTCCGCCCGCAGGACCAGGCTGCCCCAGGTCCACTCCTGCTGGGGGAGGGCCAAGCCCCGACCTCACACCGGCCATCCGTGTGTTCCAGAGAAGCCACAAAGCTGCAAACAAAGCCACCCTAAATGGCTGGCACCAGATGGGGCACGCACCCCAGGATCCCATCAGGGGTGGCAAAGAGGTCCCACTGGGGAGACCCTCAGGTCTTCAGGGAGCGGGGGGACCGGCCTGCAGAACCCTCCCCACCTCAGGAAAGCCACTGTGCTCGGCCAGCAGTGGCCGCTCTGGGACTAGGAGGGAGGACAGTCACACGGAGCGTGTGTTCTACCCACTGAGCCTTCAGCAAGCAGAGTACCTACTGGGTGCTGGACACAAGATACCCTGCTGGACACAGAGAAAGGCCTCTGCTCTCCAGGATCTGATACTCTAGACCTGTGCTGCTCAATACGGAGATGCTCGTCCACTGAGCCCTTCAAGTGAGGTCAGTCCAAAGCGAGACGGATGTGCCATCCAGCATAAAACCGACTGAATTTTCCAGGCCTGGTGGCGCACGCCTGCAATCCCAGCGGCTCAGGAGGCTGAGGCAGGGGGTTCACCAGTTCCAAGCCAGCCTCAGCAACTCTGCAAGGCACTAAGCAGCTCAGTGAGACCCTGTCTCAAAAACAAAAAGGGCCAGGATGTGGCTCAGCAGTTCAGCACACCTGGGTTCAATCCCTGACACCAAATCAAAACAACCAAAAGACGTTTTAAAAACCCACCAGATTTAAAGACAGTAGAAACAAGAAGTGAAATGTCTGGTATTCATGTTGGCTACATGTGGAAATATTAGTGATCTTGATATAGGGGATGAAATAAAATGCACTAGTAAGAGTGAGTCCAGCCGTCTCTTTCCACTTTCCCCACGTGGTCACCGGAAACTGCCAAACTCTCCGCATGGGGACCTTTACACTGGTGTCCTATTGCCACCAGACAGCCCTGCTCTGTAGCCAGTAACCAAAAAAATGAGCAGGAACACAATTAAGGTGACATTAGAGAGGCACAAGCGCCCCAAGGAGACAGAATAGGGCACTGGATACACATGCCGGGCCTGTGGGCAGAACCAACAAACCTTGGCCTGGTCTGCGTGCTGAAGTCCCCACCCCGTCCCCCCCTTTGTGACGGTGTCGGAGACAGTCTTTAAAGTGCTGATTAAGTTGAACTGAGGCCCTCATCCAGGATGGCTCGCGTCCTCGGTGACCTTGAGTAGGTGATGAGGGCGCAGACACACAGGGGCCAGGCCATAGGAAGACACCGGGAAGGACACCGTCTGCGGCCGGGAGGAGGCCTCCCCTCGACCCTGGCCTGAGCCTCCGGAACCGGCTGACAGTGTTCTCCTGTCATGGAGGCCACCCGTCTGTGGCCCTAGCAAAACAATAGGAAAAGCCTTCCCAAGGAGGTGACCCTGGAGTTGAATGACAGAGCGATCCTCCATCCTGAACGCCTCCGGGAAAATGGCCTCCAGGTACAGGAAACAGTAAGGGCAGAGGCCCGAGGGGCGAGGAGGCAGAGGAAGAGCTCGGGCAGCTGGCTGGGGGGCAGCAGGGGGTGCGGGGGAGGTGGGGGCAGACCCAGCCCTGCTGTCGTCACCCCACGTCCCCGTCGCTCCGTCTCCCGCCTCCGCGTGGGAATATTCTCCGGGACCCTGGAAGCCGCTCCCGGCATGGTCCCAGCACTGGTCAGTGCTGCAGAGGCCAGGGGATCCTGAGGGCTGCTTCCTGGGGCAGGCGGCTGGTGAGTCGCTGCGGAGGAAGGCCCAGGGCCCCCAGGATGAGACACTCACACACAGGTACCTTTAGCCCTGTCCTGGGGTCCAGAAAGCGATTCTGGGGGATGGAGAAGGAGTCCCAGAGTGTGAACCTCATAGGAAAGATGGGCACCTGCAGAAGAGGAGGGCAGAGGTCAGCCTCCGCGCCCCCAGGTGATCACGTCCCCCAGGTGGCGGGGACCTCACTGAAGCAGACGAGCTCAGGAAAGTGGGCCCCAGCCACAGTGGACTACAATCCCTCTCTCCTCTGACCAGGTCACCAGGACCTTCCTTATCACCAACCACCCACGTGGGAAGGTCATCACGGCCGAACCGAGGGGTGATCAGTGGCCTCGGGGTAAGAGAGAACAGAACGAGGACGAGGACGTCACGCCCTCAAAGCCCCTGGTTCTGTGAGAGCTGCGTGGTTCTCTCCAGGGGTCACCCAGTGCCTGGTCCTATGGGCCAAGTGGCCAGTGGGTCCCCCTCTGGCGTGGACCAGCTCATGAAAGGGCCTGGCCCTTCCTCCAGGGAGGGACACCTTCCCCAGGGACTGCTTCAGACGCTGCGTATTTAAACGGCATCCTGTCCCCTGGCAGGACGTCACCACCTTTCCCTTCCCGATTCCCGCGGGTCCAGGGAGTCGGGGGTGGAGTGAAAGGGCGCCCTTCCCAGGCCACAGCGTCATCTGGTGCAGGACCATGGAGGTGGTCTCCGTCCCTCTCCTGGGGACCCATCAATTCCCACCAGAGTTGAAGGTCCAGTGTCCAGCGCAACAGGGAGCCATGGCCAGGGTGTGTGCTGCAGCACGTGGCCTTCCTGCTGCTGCCACCAGTTCACACCCGAAGGAGATGGACTCAGGGAATTCCTCCCCCAGCAACCCCAGACCGACAGGGGGAGCTGACCGCCATGGCCGCTTGTGTGGGTACCGTAGGCCCCCAAAGGTGCCCACGTCCTGACCCAGGAGCCCATGGTCCCACAGCTCACAAGGCCTGAAGGACTTTGCAGGTGGGATGGAGTTAGGGCCCTTGACACGGGGTTGGCCTGGTCACTCACGTGGGCACAGCAGAATCACCAGGGTCCTCAGAGGGAGGCTGAGGCCAGAGCCTAAGAATGAGACGTGAGGTGACAGCAAAAGAGATGGGGACCCAGACTGTAGGTGGAGGGTGGAGGGCCAGGAGCCAAGGACGGGGACAGTGGGGACCCTGGAAAGGCAAAACCAGCACGTGGACCCGGCTCCATGCCAAGTGTCCAGCGTCTCCCCCTGAGCGGGAGGCTGCCCGAGTCCACACCAACATTTCTTTAGAAAGAAAATCTCTCATACAAAGGTCAGCGGCCTGCAGCGCAGTGGGGGCTGAGCGGCCCCTCGGCCTCTGTGGGAAAGACCCGCCAATCACTGGGATGCAGGGCCAGGTGCTGGCCGGGCGCAGCGCCCGGGACACGGATGCACTGGATGCCCCGTGGCACAAGGTCTGTCTCCATGGAGTAGGATTCCCGGGGGCCATTGGGGGGCGGGGGGTCAGCGAGACAAGCCACAGTCCAGGGACAGCACGGGTGGACGTGGTGACTGGGGAAGGTGGGAGGGAACAGGAAACTTCAAGGAAACCCCTGAGGCTGAGACATAAAAGGGACAGCAAACCGGACAGAGTGAGACCAGAGAGACTGAGATCTGGAACATTCCGTCCCTCTCCTAAAGCCACCTGTGACAAACCACCACCCCTGGACGGCCGTAAACGGGGGGGTTTCTCACGCTCGTGTTCCAGAGGCCGAAGGCCTGAGTCGAGGTGCCTGCAGGGTCCTCTGCATCTGAAGCCCCCAGGGAGGGTCCTCCCCGCCGCTGGCAGCTGCTGGGGACTCTGCAAGCTTTGGCTCAGGGAGCGTCACCCAACCCCGAGCTTCTCGTGGCTCCTCCCTGTGCGCCGCTGGCCCGCTCTCTCATAAAGACACCGGCCCCTGGGTGTAGGCTCACCCAAATCCAGAGACCCCCTCCCCGTCCCCACAGTCCACTGGCGAAAACCCGTGTTTCCAACCAGGTCACGTTCACAGGCACAGAGTCAGGACTCAGACCTGTGGACCCGCTGCAGATGGCTTCCAAACTCACCTTAATCAATCCACCTAGTGTCAGCAGCAAATGAAGTCCCTCTGCGGTCACCAGACTGACCAGACCTTTGGCACCAGCGCATGGGTGGCTGCAGGCTCTAGAAATGTCGCTTAACAGGCTAGACAGGTCTGGCCTGGGGGGAGGGGGTCATTTCAGACCACAGAGGTTCAGCCAGGTCCCCCGACCCATAGGTGGCCCCCACCCCACCCAGGATGCTTAGAAGGGTCCAGTTGGCAAACACCACAGCCAACCGGAAAATCCCCAAATAAGATCCTCAAGAGGATCTAGAGTAATGACACAAAGTTCTCCCTGAGTCAGGAAACGCCTGTGCTGATCTTATCTGTCACCTCCCGTCCCCTCCATCTCCCCTGCAGATCTTCCTAACACCAGTGCCCGCCAGGCTCCCCAGAGGTGAGGGGCGCGGGCTTGGCTCGGGGGCTTTCTCAATCACTCTCCATCTTTTTCCAGCCTGTGCTAGATTTAGACTCCCTTCCCTTGTCTTTAGAATGAGGCCCATGCATTATGGATGGGCCTATTTCTGATTCAGAGCCCAGAATCACTCTGCCTTCAAAATCAGCTCTCCCGAATCAAAGCGGCTCTGAACTCGGCCGCCTGGCCCTGCGCCTGACGACGGGGCCCCGGGCAAGGCTCTCGGTGACGACTCCTCCGTGCTCACACACACTGGCCCTGCAGGGAATGGGTGACCCGGGGACCAGGACCCTGGACCTAGGGTGATTTCCATCTGGCAGGAAGTGGGGGTCATTTCAAACCTCAAGACAAGTCGTCTCCATCCCAGGTGGCCGGAGTGTCTGGGAAGTTCCGCACCTGACACTGTGTGGCCTGTCTGCCCGCGCACCTACCCTCCTCTTTATTCTCCTGCCCTGCGCTGGGATAGCGGGAATGAAGCAGAACCGGAAGGGGATCACCCCCACCCCGCGGGGGGCCAACGGCAACAGAAATCACTATGGGCGATTTTCTTTCTGTTTCTAAATTTTCTATAATGAGCAGATATTAGTTTTTTGGGCTTTTTATTTTTTTAGGGAACTGATGTTTAAAAAATCTGTTTTCAAACCCTATTCAAGGAAACATGGAAACAAGGGAGCATTGTTAAATGTTAATCGCTGCCCCGTGAAGTTTTCCTAGTTACGTTTAAAAAAATTTGCGATACTAATACTGATGACTCATGCTCCCTGGGCACCCACCGTCCTGGATGCCTTTGCGTGTGTCCCTCTTTGAATCCTCCTTGAGATAGGTGTTCGGACTGTCCCCACGGTACAGACGAGGGCATTGAGGCACAGAGAGGTTGAGCTTCTTGTCCAGCAGCACACAGCTAGGACTTCTGCAGCTGAGATTTGAATCTAAAGAATCTCAGTCAACATTCTGTATTGCTTCTCTTCAGAAGCAAAATATACACCAATCTCAGTGTTTTTTGTTTGTTTTGTTTTGTTTTAATGCCTTCTAGCCGGAATGTGAAATACCATGCATGAGCCATTAAAACTCAGGTAGTTCTCTACAAACTGATGTGGAAAGTTCTCCAACACAGAGTGATAGAGATGGTGTTGGAAGAGCCCGGAGGCAATTTCCCCGTCTTAGAAATCTGTATATAGCAGTTAAGGATCTCTCTTATCAGATGGGAAACAAATAGGGTCAGCCTGCACTAATCTTTAAATTTCGTTGCAATCCCTTAATCTTTCCCAAAAGGCATTTTTGCTCACGTTGCCACTCAGGGGACATGAAATTCTCACAAAGTTCCCAAGAGAAGTCTCTTCCCCAAGGCTGTGGCAGCTTGCTCTTCATGTCACTCTTAAGGAAGAGCCAGTCTGCACAAGGATTCTGTCTCCACGTGGTCACCATAGGATGACGGCCTGTCACTGCAGCCTCTGCCAGTTCTGCTCCAGGGGAAGAGATAAAATGGGGCGGACCCCCAGCACCACCCCTTGGAAGCCACTTTGGGGCATGTGTTTGAGCAGGGAGAGGAGAATACCTAGAAGCCACTCAGACACTGGGGAAGGGTTGCTGGAGCCTCGCGAAGCAGAGGCCAAGGGTGACTGACAGTGAGGGTCAGTACTGACCTGGGCGGGAGGAGAGGAGCAGGACCCTCCAGGGCTTCATCCGGGCGTCTCTTGACGTCTTGAAGCTCCTGCGGCATTGCTGATTTTATAAGAACCAACCTGTGGCTTTTGGAGACACTCTGACTCGGGCAAGGTGACACTTCTGTAAGAGGAAACCAACCAAAGAGATGGCGGCCTCCTCAGGGTGTTCCCATTCTGCCACCACGGGAGAGCCATCAGCGTCACCGCCGTCCTCACCACTATCCCTACTGTTCCCTCCAACGGTTCCAACCAACCGTGACCTCGGTGAAGCCCCTCATACTCAGGTTGTCAGATGAAATACAGGCTGCCAGGTAAGTATGAGAAAACCGTGATTCTAAGTATAAATCTACCCGACACAACATTTGGGACATACACTAAAAAGCACTGAACCAGCACTTTAGGCCCAGGTGTCCTGTCCTTTTATTTGCTAAGCAAGCTTCCACTCGGACATTATCTTATCCAGCTGTCACGAAGGAGGTGGGCGTTCCTATGGCCATTGGACGGTGGAAGGGCAGCGGAGAAGGGGGAGAGTCCATAATGCAGAAATAGCGCCTTGTAAGACCCAGAAGCAAAAAGGAGAACAGAAAGTTGAACTGCTGCTCCTGCAGATGAGGAAATGGAAAGAAGCCACCAGGGTGCCTTAAAGCCACGCAAAGAGAAGTGAGCCTCGGCTTCTGAGAAGCCAATGAAACGGGGCTTCGTGGGAGCGGGTCTTCCACGTTGAAGATGAAACGCACCATCTCCCACAATTACCCAGGCTTTGGGCAGGAGACTGGGTGGGCAGGCCGCCCAGAGAAGTCCAGGAGGGAGGCAGCAGCTTTCAGAGCCATCGAAGGCCCCTCCACCGGGCAGGCAGCTGCTGGTGCAGGAGCTCAGGGGCCGCCTGCTCTGACAACAGTTTCCAGATGTGAACAGTCCTGGGTGGGAATGCTGAGGGTGCCAATGAATGGGGCGGGGTGCAGCTCCCAGTGGCACCCTGGAGGGAAAGGAGGCATGCCTCTCCCTCCTTCCCAGCTGCCACCCCAACTCGGTAGTGGGGGGCACTCTCCCAACAGACAGGCCACAGCTGGGAAGGTGGAGCAACAGCCCAGCAGGGCAGGGAGCATTTGCCCGCCCTGGGCTGCTTATCCCGGGAAGGGAAGGCCGGGAACAAAAAAAAGGGCTTTGTCCCAGCCACTGGGACTTTGCACCCTGACCCGGGGAGCAATCTGGCGAGCAATCGCAGCACCCATGGGACATGTCCCGTGAGCTCAGGAAAGATGCTGGATTCTGTGTGGAGTGGGCACCACTAAAGAGACCCTGGGGACCAGAGTCTAGACCAATGGCAGAGGGGGCCGTGTCAATCCTGGCCGAGGACACAGCAGGAGTGGCAGCAGGGTAGAGGGTGACAGTCACAGGGGCACGTGGGCAGGGTCTCATCAGGTGTCCTGGGCAGGCTCAACTCGGAGGAATGTCCTTTCGGGGCGAGAGCTCAGTGGGCTCCATCTTGCAGGGACACAAATAAGCCCTGAGACTGAGGTTTGAGGAGCAGGTGGCTCCTTGGGGCCCTGGCCCCTGGCACCTGCCCTGGGCCAGACTTGGCACCCCTCCATCAGTGGGCTCAGTCCCAGGCCTGAGGACCTGCAGGGCCTGCGGACGTCCTCCCCCGGGCAGCACTCCCGTCCCCCCTCATTTTCAGGTCCACTTTGTCACCCTGACCTCACGCCGCCCGGCAGGTGCGTGCCCAGCGGGCAGGCCTCAGCCAGCCAGTGCCCTGACTCTGGCTCAGGCAGCGCGGCCAGCTACCTGCAGTCCCCAGACGGAGATTGACGTCCTTAGAGTGGTGTGGGTCCAAGCAAGAACAAAGACCCAGGAACACCTGATACCCAGCCCCCAGATGACCAAAGTGGCCCAGGAGATGTCCCATTATCGGCTTACCCCAAAGCATCTTTTGTCCCTTAAAAATGTACTTTTTCAACGTGTTCTGGAGAAGAATTGGCCTGGTTCCTGAAATCCCACTCTAATTGTGTATAATTTTTATAAATATAGTAATTAGGACTCCCTTTGCCTCACAGTTTAAATGGAATCAAATTATTATGGGAACAGGAGGACGAGGAGGAGTGAGCCCTGGAGTCTCTGAATTCATTGCCCCTCCCTCTCCACAGGGACGCTCACTGCCCGGACCTTAAAGACAAACCGTGGTCCCCTCGGTGGCCGCAGGGAAAACAGAAGTCCTGCCTGGCCCCCGACACCTCGTAAATCCAGAGTCAGAGAACAGAAGTCACAAGATGGTGGCGGCCTGCGGTGCATTTCCCACCTGGATTCTGATTAGTCATTATTTTAAAGTCAAGAAGTTCACCCACATCCTGGATTTTCAGCCTCTCTTGACATCTCGGACCAAGCCGCCCCAGGCCTGCTCTCCTGGCTGGCCGTGACAGGCGCCATCCCGTGACGGCTGCACCCTCCACTCTGGGCACACACCACGGGCTTCACCACAGCCTCCTGTCGCCTCTCTGACGGCGCCGTTATCATGCCACTAGTCCCTGTAAGGAGCGCCACCATTGCCTGTGTGGGATGAAGGGCCAGATGCTTCCGGAAACGTGGGGTGACCATGAAAGTCTGAGGCTGTGGCAAGCACATGCGTCCCCAGGACTCCAGGCTGGGCGCCTGCTCTTCATGCCTCGTCGGGTCCGGTGGCCTGGGAATGCCTTGTCCTGCAGATCGCATGGGGGACCCCAATTCATCGCCACTTCCTCAGCCCAGGTGACTTTGTCGAGCCCCACTGGAGGAGCAGGGCACATCTGCTCCTCCTGACCCCGCCCAGCCTCGGGCCTTGTTTGGGCCAGTGGGACTGGGACAGAAGTGACATACGCAGAGGCTGGCACGGCTGGCCTTCTGCGGCTGCCATGAGACACGTGCCTCCAGGAAGCTGCTGGTCCAAAAAGCACCTGGCTGGGAGCCCCCTGTGGCAGGCCACCTGCAGACACAGGACCACCACGAAACCGTCCTTCTTAGAAGCCACTGAACTGAGGTGGGTGGAGTCACACAGTAATGTCGTGGCAACAAGTGACTGAGACATCGCTACTGCGGAATCTCAAGACACCCATTAAGTCGGTGGCCTAGAGCTTCGAGACCCCGACATAATACCGGGTGCAGTGACACATCTGTAATCCCAGCAGCTCAGGAGGCTGAGGCAGGAGGATTGCAAGTTCAAAGCCAGCCTCAGTAAGGTCACTCTGTTGGTGACCGGGGGGAAGAGAAGCCTAGGTAGCCTCCAAGGAGCAGGACACCCAAGAAAGAATTGTCCCAAATCCCACGCAATTTCCAAATGTCCACTGGACACTCACAAAGGAGAAAAAATCTATTTGAAATAAACTCCTAGAACTTAACACTAGTTTATATATTTAAAAAGCGTCTCTTGCATGACTTCTGACACATCCCGGATTTTCCCGAGGTGCAAGTGCCATGTACCCATATGAGAAGGGAAGGCTCTACGGCTTGTCTTGGGCTTTCAAGAATTGTTTGCCCTTTTGGAAAACCACATTGTCTACAGAAATGCCGTCATGTCACCTGAGTGGTCAGTCCTGTTAATCTGGATCATTCTGCACCCGTGGGTATCGGGCTGTTTTTCCAGTGCTAAACGTTGGAGCTGGCGTTAATCTTTCTTCTTTTTTACCTTCTGACAGAGGCATTCTGGGAACTTACCTAATGATATGCACACAGGTTTGTTGTTAGAAAATGATTTCATCTTGTGTCTCTCACCCATTTGGCCCTGGAGAGCACACGGTCTCTCATACTTGAGCCTGTGCCCGCAGAGAGGCTGTGTCATCTATCAATTCCATTTCCTGAGGGCAAGTTTACAGAGGGGAGCTTGGAGTCGGCTGCGGTGAGAAACCATTAATTTAGAGGGAAAACAGCAGCAGAAACGAGTTCCAGGGGGAGGTGGGCCGTCTGGTTGGGGGGGGGAAATCACCACCGTGGAAAAGGAGCGCAGCCGGCGGCCGGAGCAGCAGCCCACAGACAGGGAGTGGGCGCTGCCGGACGCCTGCTCGACAGCAAAATGATTTTTGTTCATAAAAACCGAGAAGAAACCCTCCCTTCACAGCCAGCGGACCTGGCGCTCACCTGCATTTTCAAAGGACAGTGAGGCTCCCGGGTGGCCTCTGTGGGATGTCGGTGCCTCCAGGTCTCAGGGGCTCAGAAGAGAATCCAAGGAGAGACCCTGGCTTTTCGCCTGTGGTCGGGGCATCAGAATGACCTGCGTGTGTGACCTCCATGGGGACGGGGCCCGGGTCGGAGGCTCAGGAGAATGTGCCCAGTGAAGCCGCTTCAGAGGCTCAAAAAGCAAGTTGTTTTGCCTCATTAAAAACACACTGAAGCGGCTGGGCTGGGGCTCAGCGCAGAGCACTTGCCTGACGTGTGGGAGGCCTGGGGTCGATCCTCAGCCCCACATAGAGATAAAGAAAATAAAGGTCCATCGGCAACTGGAAAAAATGTTTTTAAAAATACACCGAAAACAGAACTATCTCCACTTTCTTTCTCTTAATCCAAGGCTGCCGTAGGGATCGGGCTGCTGAGGACGGGGACGCGCTGGCTCCCGTCTTACCCAGGACAGGCAAATCAGCACAGAGGTGCCCTGAGCCAGGGGCACAGGACAGTTAGGCCACTGAGGGAAAACTGAGCAGGTCACTGCATGAGCTTTCAAAGCCACCCAGCACGATTCGGCCTCCGGTGGCCTGGTGCTCTGGGACAGCTGTTTTTGAAGAGTGAGCCCCCGACCATCCGCTGGGCACTTGTTAGTGATGCAGACTGTGGGAGAAGGGTCTGCAGAAGGGTCCGGTGCCTGTCCGTGTCACCAGCCTTCCAGGTGACTCTGGGAAGTGGAGAGCCGGGGGTGTCAGGAAATGCAGCCTTCTCAACTGTGAGTCTTGATCCAAGTCAAGGTTCCAGAAAGTCAAAATACAGAGCACCTGTGAGCCACTTTTATCCGAAGCAAAACACATGCTTTCTGCCCACGAGAAGCAATGGCCTAAGAGGGGGTTTTGTTCTGCAGGACTCGAACCAGGTGCCCACCAGACTTTGCAACTAACTCTGATGTTCTCCACGGAGTGCCCGCTTCACTCTAGAGCCCCCCGCTCGGAGCTGCCCCGTCCATCAGCTCCTCCTGAGTCACGAGGAACTGCACACCATCACTGCGTGTCTATACAGAGATCGTATCGTGCACTTTTTGACAATTGAACTTTGATCGGAGGGGCCCTCAGAAGCACCTTTCTTCCCTGTGTCATCTGGAACCTTGTCCTTACATCTTGTCCGGGGACAATGGCATTAACGCTTGGGAACACCCTCTAAGCCCTCCACCCCCATCAACATGCTGTCGTCCTTAGAGCCTCCGAGGACCTAAGTTGACCATTGCCCTGCACTTTGAAGTAGAGGAAACCGAGGCACAGAGGAGCTGGCGGTGTCACTTGTCATACATCTAATACACGGTGAAGTCCAGATTGGCTCCAGCTCTGGGTCCTCCCACCCGGCCACTCCATCCACCCCGTGGGGAGGGTCAGTGTCTCTCAGGGAAGTGCTGCGTGCACCTGGGTTGGGACACAGCTGGGCTCGGCTGGGCTCACAAGGCGGCATGATGAGGTGTGGAGAGCCACAGCTGAAGGGGCCCCAGCAAACTTCCAGCTGCCGGCTGATGATTGGCTCACAGAGGCCCCAGAAAACTTCCAGCTGCCAGCTGATTGGCTCCTCTGCCGTGATGCTCATTGGGCTGTTTCCCCTCCCTTTCAGACCACG